TTTAATTTTATTCAAATATTTTCTATAATATTTATTTTACACAAATCATTGAATTTTTCACTAAAATTCAATTACATTTTTACAGTTATTAATTTACAGTGCATATATACTGCATAATATGATTTCACCTTTATAAATAATTTAATGATTTCCGGTAAAAATACCACAAGAAATGTGTAGTTTAAATAACATTTTCATTGCACTTCTCATTATCACACCATCTATAATAATTATCAAACCAAATATATCTACCAAATCGATAATAAAAAAATCGATTTTAACTCAAAAATATTCATTATCACTTTTTAAAATAGCGTGTAATCGCATACCGTACAATATAAAGCAGATCACCTTTGTAGAATTTTTTCTTGACCGTGACATACTTTTCTTTTAATCACTATGAATTCAAAATACCTGTTACAAATCACGTTACAATTCAAAAATATTAACATGTTTTACAATAAACAAATATTAAAAGTGCCAAGCCCTTTAAATTTACTAAGTTGCTGCTGTTATTTTAATGATGCTATAAAAATTATAAAGTTAGACAATATAATTTTCTCGGTTTACAATCGCTTTTCAATCAAAATAATATTCAATATTAATAATAATAATTAACTAACACTTTATACCCTTCGAAAACCTATAATTTAATAGTTATTTTGATAATCATTTTTATAATAGTTAAAATACTGTTTTTATGACTAAATTCATAATAATTTACATATTATGCGACAACAATGTTGATGATAATGATGACAACAATAATAACTAATGTCTGTTGGTTGGGTTTAGTTAACACAATATTCAAAATTAATTTTATGATAATATGAAAAGTGTATAACAAATAATAGGGTAACATGTTAATATCATGGGATAATGATGTTTTCAAATTGATTACGATAAAATACTTGCATTTCCGATACAAGTGATATTCCGATTCATTTTTCAATATGAGAGAATAATAGTTGTTGTTCTTGATTAAAAAGTATGCTAGCTGTCCTAGAGTGTTGTTAGCTTCTTGAATATTTAGTACACTTTTTTGTATTAAAAAAAAGGCATGAATTGAGAAACAGCAGAAGCGGTCAACAAAATTTTTACAGCACGGTAGCATTTACTCAAAATATTTTAGTTAAAATTAAGAGTCAATGAGGTGCAGCGCAACACAAAATAAAAATTTTAAAACCGATAATTTTAAATGTTTCATTTTACACTTTAAAATCTTAACACTGGCAACACTATTTTTGACAACTTAAACTTGTGCTCTACGAAAATTTCCCTTTCCATAATTTCTACTTCTTCGAGACACATTTTAATTGTTTATGAACTCTTTTTAAAAAATTGGAGACTCTATAAATTTAGTTTTCAAGAAAATGTAGACAAAAATAAAACAAAAAATCAATAATATGTAAAATAATAGCCACTATTGATCATATAAATCACGATTTAAAATGGTTTTGTGATTTATTTACCATAGATAAAAATCACTGTAAACAACAATTTGAAGAAAATGTAAAAATATTGTAAACATAGAATTTTAAAATTATTTTTCTGAATTAATAAGTCTGTCTATCCATTAATTGTGTATTAATCAAATTTATACTTAACAAATTATTTAAAATGCAAATATTAAGGAACACACCTTTGTTGAAATTTAAATTTTGAATATGCAAATTAAAAGTACATATTTGTACTTATGACTTCCTTATTCAATGATATAACGAGTATATTTGAGGTACTTGAAATAGTGTTTACAGTGGCTACTGTTCAGGTAATTTAATATCTATTATGTCAAAAAAATAAGTGCAGATATTTGATATGAGAAAATAATTTTAACTCCCCGAAATTAATCAAAATCAATAAAATAACGTAGATATACAACACTCCCAATTATATCAGGTTATACAAATGAATAGTTTAAAAGAGTAGTTGTGCACATTTATTCCGATAGATGGTTTTACAACTTTATATAATTGAAAATAAATGTCAAATTTTCAATATTTATATTCAATATTATATTTAATATTTATTTCCTCCAATAAAACGGAATTACAAAATAATGGAGCTATTCCGGGCACAACAACTCTTGAGTTTTCTATGTTTTTGTCATGTCTACTTCCAACTAGCCAAGATTATTCTGAATATTTAAATATAACAGTTAATGCAAATTAATTCTGACAAATGCTGTTATACTTCTAGAAATTCAGAATGCGCTAATTGATTTAATTTAAATTTTATGGCAAAAAAAATTATGTCCTATAGCATAAACGAGAAAACCCAACAACATCAGCAACAATAAAATGACATTAGAAAATTGTTTGACTGTCAAAATTTTGTTATACATAAGTACTTTATTTTTAACAACACATTGACGTGTGCCGCCGTTTATTCTCCTTCATGTTTGCAAATTTTTTGTACAATATTTGGGAACAAATATAACAATGCCATTGAAAATAATTGATTCATTCAAAATTATAATTTTAACGTATGTAAAATTTATAAAATATTTAATTTGCTATTATTGTGTAAACGTTATTATTTTGTTATAAAATTTGTACAATCTTAGTTTGGCATTGGAATTTTTAAATCGTTAATTTCATTTTCTTCATCACGTTTCTCTTCTCTTCTTTGTTGAAAAATACAATACATTTTTTTTTTCTTTAAATATTTTATTGGGAATTTTCACATTTTGTTTAATAATTTTTGTATCAACTTTGAATAGTTTTAATTCAGAATTAATGTAGGATTTCGTTACGTCTATAACATAATGTTGATTCACCGCTCGCCGTTCATATATTAAGAAAAAAATTATGGTCATGTTATATGGTTTGCCTTACAAAGATTATAAGGAAAAGAAATTTAAGGTATATAAAGGTGATAAATAACCCATAGTTGAATAATATTATATAGGAAAACCACGTGCTATTTAATTTGATTTTTGATTTCTTAATTTCCGAATAATATTTATGAATATGCATTAATTATTTTGTATTTTGTTTTTATATACTTATTTTTTTATGATAAATGTGAATGTTTTGAATATAAATCAATTGAAAAACTAAATAAATTGAATTTAATTTGCAAATCCATTTTGTTAGTGGAATTTCGAATTTAAATTTTGCAATTTTTGAGTATTATAAAAATATTAGTCACGTCCATTTAAAAATATGTTACGTCATAAGTGGATTATATGATTTAAGTATTTTATTTTTTACATTATTTTTTATTGAGTTATCCCGTTATATTAGATGATCCCGTTAAATAAATGACTAAATATAGTATTTAAGTTCCTCACACATAATAAGATTTCATTATTATAGCTTCGTTGTGATTATAGCAAAGACTTTAAAAATACAAAGATGTACCAACAAGATAAATTTCTGCTTAAAAAATCAATTCTGGGATACCAAACATTGGCAGAACATAAATACATTTTTAGTCTTTTGTGTTTATTTTCTTATTCTTACTCTCTACTTAATTTTTTCTTTTAATTAATTATATTGTGTTTGATTATAGTCATTTACTAACAGCTGAGGTCTAAACCTTATACACAGTTATATTAAAACGTATGTAAAGTTTAAAAATTTACACGATATATAATGTTACAATTTGAATTAAATTTTTTTTACTCTCTCCCTTTCTTCTCATATTCTGAGTTAATTCTCTAATTCCTTTCTGATTTTGTCCACTTACTTTTTTTAACTGAAATGAAATTCATTAGAACCGCTGGACGTTTGTCTTCGGTTTTAATTGTTATGAATCGCTGATAAATGATAAAATTACGAAGGACTTGTATTTCGAATTACAGTTATTAGGGATCCATATGGAAGAAAGATACATGAGTCGGTCCAAGCGGTGATTTACTTTACTATTTCAGTAGTGTAAATCTCATCAATTTTCAAGCAAATCCAATTCATATTGTTAAACCGTCCCTATATTCCTTTAACGTGCAGTCATTCACAATGGACAAGAACCAATAAAAAACTACAAAAGCAATTTGATGGCAACAAGTTTATCATCACCTTTTTATTGTTATTTCCATTTCATTTAATATAGATGGATAATTTCGTTTTTTTTTTTTGCACTTCAGCTTCTCTATGAAACAAAAAATTGTTTTTTTTTTTTGTTAAATCCTAAAAGAAAATTTAGGCACCATAACATCACGTAGCAAAAAAAAACCATAATTTCTTTTATATTTTGGTTTAAGTTTTTTTCCCCATTCCCAACTCTATGCATAAAGAAATTAAAAAAAAAAATCACTACTTAATTGAAAAGAAAATTTGAAGCATTTATAAAAGAAAACACCGAAAATTTGTTACAATTTTTTAGCCTCAAAAATTTTTTTTTGTACAAACATTTTTGGCTTTATTCCAAAAAAAAAAATTTAAAAAATAATTTTTGGAAAAAAAAATTTTATCACGTAAAACTTGCCGAAATAATAATAAAAATATTTAAAAAGTGAGAACAAGTGAAAAAAAAATATGAAGAAAAAAAATATGAGGAACACAAAAAAAAATTGTGCCTATGCAAAATGACAATATTATGGAAGGTAAACTAAAAGAAGAAAAAAAAATTACAATAAAAAATAAAGTATAAAAGTTTTTAAGTACAAAGTAGTTTTATGTTTCATACAAAATAAAAGTGAAAATTAAAATAAATGACCCTACTGTTATACCCACTTAAATTCACCTGAGAAGCTACTTAATTATAATTACAATTACCTAGGCATTTAACAGGTCATACATGGACGTCTATAGTGGTAGCAAGTCATTGTGCTTCCATATTTGAATTGAATTTGAATTGGAGTCACAAAAAGCTTGACATAAGGAACGTTTTAAATATTTTCTGAATGAATCGTAATTGTTTCCACCCAGTGTTTTGTATAAATATATCGAGCATTTATAATAAATTGCTCCCACATATATGCAATCTTCAAATATTTATTTAAAGTGAACATAACGATAAATATAAATTATTATTGGAATTTGTTAAAACTACAGGTATAGAAAATTCAAAAATTTCATTACACAGAACGCTAAAAGTGAAGAACAACAAAGCTATTTGGGGAATTTCTGAAATTAGTTTAAATTGGGCTCTAAATTTAATTACTTTAAATGCGTATTCAAGGTAATGTCAGCTGTTTAAATAATAAAAATCCTGTAATATTTAAATGAATTCTAAATATATTGGAATTAATGCTGTTTAAACTAATTAGTTTGTAGAGTAAATGCATTGTTTGCCGTTTAAATTAAGAGCCAATCCAAACAATAATTTTAGCAACTAATAGTTTGTCAAGTATGGAGCCATTATTTTCATCGTCAATTACTTAAACAGAATTGGAATGAAATAGAACTCATTGGAATGCCATTTGGAATGAAATTCCGAATACCTTACTTAAAATACTTAATTTAATTTAATATTAAAATTTTAATTTATTTGATCGGAAATATCTTACGCAATTTTCAATTTATACCTTAAAAATTCGCGAAAAAAGTGTGTTATTTTCAATATAATTGGTCCTTCTTCCGATTGTGTACGTAATATCAAAAGTTCTTCAATTAATCCAATAAAAATTACGAAATATTTTTATAATTTCGAATTTAATAGATTTATATTTAAAAGTTTTGCTCTATATTTTTTGATGGTTCCCACTGACTTGTTCAAAAAACTACCGCATATACTAATAAAATTTTAACAATAATTATTTGCCAACCTATCTAGGTGTCCTAAATTTGAATTACAAAATTTTAACTGACTTAACTTTTATTATTTTTTATAATGTTTTTTTTTATTGACCTACCCAAATACAAAGGGCTGTATCAAAGGTACCTTCACAACACACATTAATTTCTAATGTTGTAATTTAATGAAAAACAATTTGTTTTTTTTGTTCCCCCAATTTTTATAATAGGACAAAAGGTAAAGTTGGAAATATTTTGATTATAAAACAATTTTTATAAATTGACCATATCATTTAAAAAACACAAAACCGCAATTTCACAGCTAGACAAAAAAAAATTTAATTAATGAAAAATGTTTTGTTTTTATAATGTAATTCAAGCCCATATGGTGGCTCCTATTATTTACATGATGCTATTAACTATTGTGTATACAAACCAACAAAAAATTATTAACACCTTATTTTTGTTTCTTTTGTGGAATTTCATCGTTTATTTTATTTTTTCTTAGGTACCTACACTTAAAATAAATTTTATAATTGGCATAGCAGTACTAAAATTAATAGGAAAAAAAAAAATAAGATTTTTTAAAATAAATGCGTCAAAAATGATGAGATCAATTAAAAGTAGAAAAAAAATGTGTTTGATATTTGTAAAATTAAATTGCATAATTTTGAGGTGAAAATTAAAAAAAAATTTTTTTTAAAAATTAGCAACGAAGCGAGTAAAAACGGTAAATGAAAAGGGGAGACACATAATCAGACTGTAGTAGAAACGGCTAGGTGTTAAAAGAATTAATGATTAACGTGCCAAATTTTTTTCCAGTAAAAACTCTAGGTTTTGGCATAAACATAAAATATTATTGATGCTTTTTTGAGAAATACTTCAAATTTATGATGGAGACGGAAGGCAGGGGGACGGAATAATTCTTAAATTATTTGTTAAAAATTTTGAATATCAAATGTACCTATGCTGTGATATACACCATCTTTTAAGGAATGTTGTGCCATTTCAATTGAAAACATTCAACTTTAATGTTTTACTTCAATTTCAACTATATTAAAATGTATGGAAAATATGAAATTTAAGGACCATTGCTTAAGGATAATGATTTCAAATTACAAAATTATTCTACAGGATTTGAACTTTTATTGATTTTTTGTCTATTTCAGGCAAAATGGCTAGTAATTAATTTTATTTCCTGTACTTAATTATTAAATGATTAATGAACAGTTACACTACATCAAATCTGGAAAAAGAAGCAAAATATAAATGGACAACGTCCTTGTACACTTAATAGAATTATTATTAAAAAAATAATTACCAAATATTGGTTCTTATTATTATTGGTTCTCATCATTAATGGCATTCTCATAATGCCATTAAACAAATAATTATGTGTTACTATATATATGTCTTACGACAATAACTAATGGAAATTCTTTCATACAAAAAACTGCATAATAGATGGATGACATAATCAAAAAATTTCTCTCCTCAAACTGGACACGAATCAGTGATTTACCGCTATTTAAGCGGACGCTCTACCAACTGTACTACAGAGGTATGAAGAAATTATCAGTTCCTATTATAGTTCCTTCGATTACGCGTTATAAATCTGCTCTGCAGTTGAATGTAAAAAATTTCCATTACCTATTTTAAATAATTATGTTATTTAATTATTTCATAAATAGATTTTTGCGTTTATTTAAAATGATAATTAAAATAGTGGTAAATTCAAAAAAATACACAAAATATGTTTAAATTGAGTTTTATTTGTGAAAATAATTTGATATTGAAGTTATGCAGATGCAACATTTCTTAATTTATTTACATATTTCAATTTGAAAATAATCTTTGAGTTAATTACATAATTAATACAATAAGTAAATAATTTCTCAGATTTAAAATTTAGAAATTATAAAAACAAAAATTTTAAACATATTTTCGTGTAAATATTTATAATGTAAGAAAAAATATATTTGCCCCCATATAACCTCTGCGAACAATTTAACAATCTTTAATGATTCAAAATAAAATTAATTTAAATTTAAATTTTACTCTAATATGACGGATACTTTGCCACTCTTCTCATATACAGAGTTACCATATTGATTTCACAGAAAATCTGGAAAATTTTGCCAAAAAACCTTAAAAAAACCTGGCAACGTAAAAGAAAAAACTGGCATAAAATCTGATTAAAAAAAAAACTGCTTTTATATTTAATTTGAGCACATATTATATGCCTTATGTTTATCTAAAACAGAGGTTCCCAAACTTTTTTTATCTCATATACCCCTTGTCGTTTTTGATAGACCCCTGCTTTGATAAATTTCTTTGATAAATTTAAATTTCTAATAGTAGCAAGGTACACCTATGACGTGAGAAGGTTAAATAAAAGACTTATTTAATTAATTTCATATTTTCTCGTAGACCCCAAGCAGGTCTTTATGGACCCCATGTGGTTCTATATAGGCCACTTTGGGAATCACTGATCTAAAACCATTCTTATTAGAATTTAATTTCCAAAAAAAAACAATAATTTTTGCAGATTTTGATTTTATTTCTGTTGATGCTCTATTATATTGTTATTTTTGTTGAATTCTCCATTTCACTATTACCTATCAGTACAAAACTGCTTTTAAAATGAAGGATGACTTGTATGACCATAATAAAATCAACCCACAAACTCCATAAACAGTATCAAAACATCAAAATCAGCATTTGGTTTGTCAAGTAAACAGTCGCTGTCTATTGGAATTCACAATAATATAACTATACAGCTTCAATATAATTATAATTAAAAAATATAATCATTATACTGCTTCAACATCACCAAAATGTCAATTCATTTAAAATCAATTTTTTTATACGTTAACTTTTGAAAATACTGCATTACTGTTTGTGCAATACTAATTCACAATACGAGAAATTTAAAGTGATTAGTTTTTTCCCAAAGTGAAAAATCTACCGTTTTGACTTTTGAAAAATCTTAAAAATCAGATATATCTGGCGATATGGGAACGCTAATCATATAGGTACGTACACAATGTAAGCACGCAAAACTGACCATAAAAATTTTATTTCATTGTTTCATATCTAAACCTGCATTTCGTTTGTGTAACTGCATACATTAAATAGGCATAAATCTTCCAACCAACTTAAATTATAATTAACTTTCAGAATAATTAAATTATGTTTAATATACACATATACATAAGTACTTCATTAAACTATTAAAAGAAAATATTTTCTTACATTTTAATGTTAAAGATTTTTATTAATCTTGCTTTATTTTCATAATCCTATGTACTCAAATTTTTTTCAAAAAAAAAATTAAAAAATAAAAATTTCACTTTTCTACAATTATAATAACAATAATGATGATGATAATGATTATACGTAGAGATGATTATGATGTTGATATTAATGATGATGCGGTGGCGGTATACCAGAATAAAAAAAAAAATTTTTTTTCTTTAACTATTTATACAATAAAACAAAAACTATATTATAATTACAACAATAAAGAGTGTACTGCAAAAAAAAAATTATAAGCTCATATTATTTCCTGAGCAATGCCATCTATTTAAAAAACTTGTAACTACTTATATATTTTGTAGTTTAAAAAAACAGAAACATACAATTGTAAAAACATAAGTATGTATAAGAAATGAAACTTTCCACTTGCGTAATTTTTGTTGCGATATTAAAAACAATTGTTTTACAACAATAACAAATGAGAAAAAATTTTTTTTTTTTGAATGCAACAAGTAAATCATACATATAACCCTGGTGTCAAGTTGGGTAATTTTTTTTTTAGTTTTTACATTTTTGTTATAATTAAAATATACTTACTTATATACCGTATAATAATTTATAATTGGTCTTATGGTTTTTGGTCAGATGTTTGTAATTATTTCACTCATTGTTTGAGAGCTTAATTACTTTGCATATATTCTAAAGAAATTTTGAGATTATAATTTAATTTACAGGCTCTTTTTTGCTCTTTAATTTAAATTATAGAATGAATGACTTGTATAGAATTCTCTTAAGGAATAAAACAGCATATTCAATTAACAATAATAGATAAATTCAATTCATATATAGGCAATTGCAACTAGATAAACTAACACTTGTTGATTTCAATGATTGTATTAGATGGACATGCATAATATGGAGTTACATTTGCACCTCTATTATACTTTTGGCTATAATAACACTATAATGTGCATTGCATTTATTGACATTTAATAAAATGTTCTTGGAATGTGAACACAACAACAAGTCTATAAATCAGTGGTTGGTAATAAATGACTCTTTAGAACTATCTGTCTCATCCGCAAAATTTTGAATTTGAAGCTTCTTTGATTCTTGTGCATATAAAATTCTACATAATAAATTTTTGTATAGTATTGTGGTTAATGTGCACAATTAAAGTCACAAACTCTATCGTACTTGACGTATTTAGAACACTCCAGAGTATTAGTCCAGAATAGTTCTTATTTTAAAAATGTAATTCTTATTAAATTAAAAACCAAAGATGGTACTGGTAAAAAGAACTTTAAGAAAGGAGAGGAACAAGAAGAATTTGAAATCTAAACTACTTTCTATAGCTTGGAGAAAATTATCTTTAAATTTTTTATTTTTAAGAATTTTAATACTTGTCATTTATACCGTAAATTCTATATTTTGTTAAAAAAATTATGTTTTACCACTGTACTCTAAAAAATTTCCTAATTGACTCATTCCTCGCATAGTTAAGATCTTAAACTAAGTTTATGGAACTCAAGGAAATACACATAATACAGAAACTATTACAAAATTATCGGAAAATCCGATTATAATTTTCTAAATATAAGTTTACATTTCTTTTTTCTCTTTTCTTTACACAAAAGTAAGAAATTGTTTGGAAAAAAAAAACATTGTTAATTCTATATGCGTTATTACCTATACGATATCTACTTGTTGCGAATACATAACTACCTAGTACACAATACACAATATATATTATGAATGTCAATGAACAATGAATGCAGCAATTTACAATGAATTTTAAATCGGTGCGGATTGCTTTGCATTAAGATGCACAATTACCCATTTTAAATTATATTGTTTGAAAAAAAAAATTAGATTTGCAATATTATAATAATAGATATATGTATATATATAAATGAATATTTCATGAAAAAATTTTTTAAGAGGAAAAAGGAAAATCCATAATTTGGGTGTATGTACAAATGTTTGTTTTCTTTAAAATATTTAAGAGGTTCATGGCCAGTTTTATAATACGAACGCTAATAATTTTAAATGATAATAAATTTATTTATGAGCTCAGTTTACATTACTATACACAAATTGTATTTACGTGCCTAAATATATACACACACGCACAAATAAATATACAAAATTTTTGTTGAATCAAAAATGTTTTGTTGCGTAAATAATCCGTGTCTTATGTTTGTTTCTCTGCAAAAAAATTCAAATGATGGTTTTCAATTATTTTTTTGGTGGCTCTTTTCTTTCATTTCTTTTGGTATAATCAACAAAAAAAACTACTTACATTTTATGTTTTTAACAATTATTGAATAATAGTTGGAAAAAAAAGCTAACTACTACCGTTATTACGGTATTGCACTCATTATGGTTAAAATTTAACAATTATTTTGTATTTGTTTTTATATGATTTGTGTTTCTATTTTACTTTTTTATTTATTGCTCGCGTAGACACATGATATTTGTCTTGAATTTTACGATACGGTATATAATAATAACAAAAGTACAGTAAAATGTACCGTTATAATATCACTTGCGTAATATAAGGAAATATAAATTATGATTATGTTTTAAAATTAGAAAATTTTTATAAAATTACATTAACTATAAAATTAAATTGGTAAATTACGATAATGATGATCTCATATAGGTTTTAATTGAATATAATTTAAATGGATAAAAATACGATATAAGAGAAATTTGTCTGAGCAATGTGCTTAAAATACTCAAATTTTGATTATCACAATTTAAATTTTATAATTGATATAAAAATTGAAAACTTGGGATCGATATAGAGTTTAATAAAATACGATAAATCTATAGACCTTCAAATAAATTTAAATTCATCTCTAATTGACCACAATGAAACGCTAACAACAATGTTGTAGCTCAATAAACTGAGCGGAGATTTAATCTAATATAACATTTTTAATTAATCTATCACATAATTCGCGTATATAAGTAGCAATAATTCTTATAAATACATAACGAATTAATTTTCATTAATATCTTGCAATTTTACAAATTTATTTCTTTATTAAACACTTAAACATTATATTAAACAAGTCTCTATTAAACACTTAAACATTATATATAAAAAATTTCAAATAACATTGTTTTTTAGCGACATCTTTATTTAAAAGGCATAATAAATTTTAATTATCACATACAAGAACCTCTTAAACTAAAATTAAGAAGAACGTCAAAAATTTTCACTCTGCTGTTTTAAATTATGAACATTTATTCCACTTAACTTTATCACAATAGTTTCCATTCCTATTTTTTATATTATAATCTTAAAATAATTAACTTAATTTTAATTTATGAAAAACAAAATTACCCTTGTCTATAATCTTGTATTTTCCTTTCATCATAAATTGATGAAAATGTTGGATTATTACCACTATTATTTGCACTTGGCCAATTATTAATTTGGGCATCAATACCACCACCAACATTTCCTGGATAATTTCCACCATTATAATTACCCGATGGATAATTATAATAATAAGGATATTCTGGATAATTACAATTTGGATAATTACGACGATTATATCGACAATTACGATATTGTGGTAATCCCATTGCAATTGTTAATGAAAATATTAGAATAAGTAATGTATTGAGTATTTTATATAAGTTTAAATAAGATTTAAAAAATATTAAAAATTTCATTATTTTAAATCTTAATCCGAAAATATTTTATTATATAAGTAATAATTACAATACTGTGATGACTAAAAGAGATTTCTAAATGAAATTTCTCTTATATACTTATTAAATCATCTGTTCTTTTGATTTTTATCAAATTTTTTATTCAATTAACACCTTGAATTTCAATTATGAAAAATAATTACTTTATTAATTGATATTTTTTTTTTTTGATTAATTTTAAAATAATTAAATTGTAACAAATCAGTGATCATACGAATTGAATTGAATTAAAGTGGGAATATGAATAAAAGTTCTCACTTGTATTTAGAATAGTAACATGTTATTTTATAGCCCATTAAATAACTAAATATAATTAAATGTTATTTAAATTAATTTTAATTTAATTGTAAAAATGAAATTATTTTGATGCAATTTAAAATTTTGCATTGTAATTGCGTTAGATTTGAGATATTGTAACAATTTAATGAAAAATTTAATGTGAAAAAGAAAATGTATTGCAACATAATGAAAAATAAAATTCGAAACATTGAATACTAAGTAAAAGGCAACAAAATTGTTATTCGCACTGAAATCTACAAAAACCGGGTTTTTTAATCCGGTTTATTACTTTAAACCAGTGACTTAACGTACCTATAACAGAATATAATCGAAATAACACATAAAATTGGCTTGGACCCATTGTTCAAAATCAGCATATAATCGTTGTGTAAGACACGTAACCCGTTCTTGTTAAAGCTAAATCTCGTGCGGATCAATATCGTTGTGACTTTCGAACAAAATATCAATGATTACATGAAATGAAATTGATACAGTAATTATCTCAAACAGTAAGGTCCGATAGATGCTGACAAAAAGAAAGCATCCCTTATTCGAAAATTTCACAATTTTATTTCACCTAAGCATTTTTATTTAGAAAATATTATTGCTCTACTCAAAAAAAAAAAATTTATACACTGTCCGATTAATTTAAAGGTAAACCGGTCGATTTCAGTATTACTGACGTAACGTTATTAAACGTATGGAAGGAAACGTAAAATAATTTTATTTTAAATACACACAAAATGATTTTTACGCAATTGTCAAAGTAATATAAATGGAAATTGTAAATACCGGCGACACATTCACTCGACACAATCAAATATGAGTTATTTGATTTATGTAGAGTTGTTTTATTTTATAATTGAGCAAAATAATAAGAAACCTGTTAAATTTTTAATTAATGTTGTTTTACACATTTTTTTATTACTTAGTTCATTTTTGTTTTTATTATTTTAGCGCCCAATTAAGGAGATTTTAAATTTCATCTTTCAAAATCAAGTTCATCCCCTTCTTATACTTTTCTCGTAATTAATATTATCATACTTAAGTTTTCCACAATCATGTTATAATCAAATAAAAAAATTTACTAATAATATTTTTTTTTTTCAGTTTTATTCGTTCGAAAAATAAAATGGGACAAGAGAGTTCACTATTACCAAGAAATCCATATGAAAATTATCCAAATTGTAAATCCAATCATCAAAAATTTTTAGTTTCTGGCACAGAGCATTATAGTGATTTAAGAAAATATCACAAATCAAAATTAAATTTATCAAATAGTAATAATTCTTTAAGTACAACAACAACATTAACCCATCTACATAATACTAATAATAGTCATCATCAACAATATCAACATCATTATAGAGATAATTCAACATCATCATTATCAACAATATATGGTAACGCTACATATGTTGATAATACTTGGAATTGTACACAAAAATCAAATAATCAAAATAAAATAACAATTGTTGATAAAATACCAAATCATTTACCACCGCCACCACCATTACCTTGTACACAAACTAATTTACCCGAATCTGGTTTTGATCGTTATCAAAGAATAAAGAAATCAACATCAAGATCATCATTTGCCTCATATACAGATTATTCAAGTTGTTATTGTTCATCAAATTCTAGTGCATTATCAAGTGCATCAAAAAGATCACAAGAGAAACAAGCAAATTATTTAAATCATCATTTATATATTAAATCATATTTAGATATCCTTGAAGAAGACGAAAAAGCTAAGAAACAATTTATACCACGCCCAGGTATACGAAATTATAAACCAAAAATATTATATTCTGAAACCTCAAATAGTATAACACGAAAGGAAAGTAATAAAAATAATAAAGATTCGGGTACTTGGATTTGACAATTAATAGCACCGAAAATCATTCAAAATGGCTTTTGGCATAATAACCTCAATGTTAGGAATGATTCCACTCTTAGCAATCGGAGTAAATTATTTTCGTTACGAAAATAATGATCCGGAATCAAGGGTTATTGAAGCTGATGTCCGTAGAGTAAGTCGATATCACATACCTGCTTTTAAATTTGTAAGAGATGATAATAAAATTTTGTATTTTCAATTTTAGCTTCGAAGTCATTATGATTTTATTGTTGTTGGTGGTGGTTCAGCTGGTGCCGTAATAGCAAATCGTCTATCAGAAGTTAAAAATTGGTCTGTACTGTTACTGGAAGCAGGCGGTGATGAAACTGCTATATCTGATATACCAGCATTAGCTGGTTACCTACAACTCACTGATCTTGATTGGAAATATAAAACAACGCCATCTGTAAATCGATCTTATTGCTTAGGAATGAAAGGTGATCGATGTTTTTGGCCAAGAGGTAAAGTACTCGGTGGTTCTAGTGTACTTAATGCAATGGTCTATGTAAGGGGTAATAAACATGATTACAATCATTGGGAAAGTCTTGGAAATGATGGTTGGGGCTATGATAATGTTTTAAAATATTTCTTAAAATCAGAAGATGTTCGAAATCCTTATTTAGCTAAAACACCATACCATGAAACTGGTGGATACCTAACAGTACAAGAATCACCTTGGCGTACACCACTTTCAGTTGCATTTATTCAAGCTGGTCAAGAGATGGGTTATGAAGAAAGAGATATTAATGGTGAAAAACAAACTGGTTTTATGTTAACACAATCAACAGTTCGACGTGGCTCTAGATGTAGTACAGCGAAAGCATTTTTGAGACCAGTAAGACGAAGAACTAATTTAGATATTGTTATGTATGCTCAAGTCACAAAAATTTTAATAAATAAAAATCGAAAAACCTATGGGGTAGAATTTGTTAGAAAAAATCGTAAACAAGTTGTTTATGTTAATAATGAAGTTATTTTATCAGCTGGTGCTTTAAATAGCCCACAACTTTTAATGCTTTCTGGTATTGGACCTTCAGATCATTTGCAAGAATTTAGAATACCGGTTGTTGCTGATTTACCAGTAGGAAATAATTTACAAGATCATGTTGGTTTAGGTGGATTAACATTTGTTGTTAACGAACCAGTTACTGTAACTAGGCAGCGTTTTGCAACAATGGCTGTAGCAATGGAATATTTAGTGCGTGACCGAGGTCCAATGACATTCACTGGAGTTGAAGGTGTAGCATTTGTTAATTCAAAATATCAAGATCCGGCAATTGATTGGCCAGATATACAATTTCATTTTGCACCAAGTTCCATTAATTCAGATGGAGGTGATCAAATACGTAAAATACTTAATTTAAGAGATGGTCTTTTTAATACAGTTTATAAACCATTATTACAAGCTGAAACATGGACAATATTACCATTACTATTAAGACCGAAAAGTACTGGATGGGTTCGTTTACAAAATTCAAATCCATTTGTTCAACCAAAGTTAATACCAAATTATTTTGCATATGAAGAAGATTTGGATGTTTTAGTTGAAGGTATTAAAATTGCTGTTAATGTATCAAATACAGTAGCATTTCAAAAATTTGGTTCACGACCACATAATATACCATTACCAGGCTGTAGACATTTAAAATTTATGTCAGATGAATATTGGAAATGTTGTGTTAAACAATTTACATTTACAATTTATCATCCAACTGGTACATGTAAAATGGGACCACCATCAGATATAACAGCTGTTGTAGATCCAAGACTTAAAGTTTATGAAATTAAAGGATTAAGAGTAGCTGATGCAAGTATTATGCCAACAATTGTAAATGGTAATCCAAATGCACCAGTTATTATGATTGGTGAAAAAGCATCTGATATGATTAAAGAAGATTGGGGTATTAAAAGGCGGCAAGGTGGAAATGTTCGTTATAAATTTTAATTTAATTATTAATTTTAGATAGAATATTAAATTATTTTGATGTTTGATTACAATTTAGGAAATTTAAATTTGCTTGTTTGTTTCTTACTCATTCTACTTTATAAAAGAACATAACTATAATTTAGTCGATATATGAAAGTATTTTTAACTATATTGCTAAAACTAAAGTAGAGGTAAGCGCAACATAATCGTTTTGTTTAATTTATACTCTTCTTAGAATTGTAAGAACTATTCTAGCAAGCCTAGATCTAAGGGCATATATGTAAAATTCATGTGAACAAAAAAATTATTATTAAGAATATTGTGAATTAAAATTTACGTTATACTCTTAGTATAATTGAAAATCGGTTAAGTATTCTATTAAAATTGTCGATTGTTACCTTTAGCTAGTCAACACTTTATTATATTTTAGTTGGAATTTCAATTTTATAAAAATTTTTGAAGAAATTTTAATTAAAATTATAAAAAGGTTCAGAAACCAATGACTGTAAGTCACGTTCCATTAAAATTAGGGATGTTACAAAAACAAATTATTTGGTAAAATAAATTTTTTATCGATTTACACTGATTGACTTCTGAGCCCCCTATATATGTAAATAAAAAACTTATGAATTATAAGCATTACAAAATAATAGAAAAAAAGTAATTAATTAATTTTGTTATTTAATCGAATCTTTGCAAATGTTATTAAATTTAAATAAGAAAATTAAAAAAAAAGAATTTAATTATAAGAAATGAGAAAATAAAATTAAATTTGCTTAAATTGTTTACTTAGAATTATTAATACAAATAATATCTACGTCCTCACTATGTCTAATATATCGGATCATTTATCATTCTAGAATATTGTGTTGTGATTCAAAATCAAATAGCTTATAAGATAAATTAATATTTCCATAACTTTTCTTAATTTATTATTGAAAATGGAAATTTATACTTTATACCGTAAGTTAAAGTTACTTGTAAGCTACTTGTGAATGTAAAGGGGATATTAGACCCAAAATGAAGATCATTTCTATAAAATTAATTAATATTGCCCGCACTTAGTAAAATAAATGCAATTCCAAATTTTAAAAGGGGGAAAAACCCACTATGCTCTTAGACAAATCTTAAATTAATTAAATATTAAATATTATTACTATTAATTGCAATTCTATTATGAGAATGTAAAGATAAATGGACACCATTTTGAGGAAAATTTTATTGTATCTGCAAAAACATTGTTGTGGGCTATTCAAAACACCAGCTGATAAAATAACTTCATTATTAACATAAACTGTTTTCAAAATTTTTCTGAATTTTTGGCTATTATGAAAAAAATACACTCTTGCTTTTTTTGTATTCACATTTGAATCATATTAAATAAAGATCTCAAATAACTAAATCCTTAAATTAATGATAACATATCGTGTAAATCAAAAATAACAATATGTAATATCAAAATAAAATTACATACCTTTAGGCTCTCAAATTAAAAGCAAGAATCATATGCATTTCCAACTACCATATAAAACTTTTAGCATATCATTTGGGACTTACCTAAAATAAAACAAAAAGAAAATATAAAATTATTAAAATTTCATTGAGTTTTAATAAATTACTTTAATTTTTTTTAATATTTGTAATATATTTGAGTAAGAAATGCATATATAGTAATTAAGTATTAAAATTTATTTATTAGAAAGAAAAATATTTTAATAAACAAAAGCAGCAATATAATCCATAACAAATTTAACTCGAATCCTAAAAATATGTAAAAATTGCGTTTAAAATCAAGGAAATCATTTTCCAATTTCATAGTTACTATTTATGTTTTGCTCAAATTAAAATGCAAAGAAAATTTTAATGCATTTTAATACGAAAAATTTCACTCAAAATAGTAATAAAATAGTAATACTCAAATTTAATTGAGTAGAAAACTATTCTTTAAAAATTGAGTGCAGTATATGATCCAAGCTCAATTATTGTTGAGCTTTCAAAATTTTTCAAAAAATTTTTATGTGAAGCTTTTCGAAAAAAAAAAAAAAATCTTTTTCAAAAAATTTTGAATTTGTAATTTTAAAAATATTGAAATTCTTCATAACAAAAAATATTACCAATTACTACTCTATTTTATTTACTCAAGTTTATTTTTCACAATATTACAAGTTCTACTCAACCTATATATTCACACGATGCAATAGAGACATTAAAAAATGTATGTTATTTAATATTATATGAATAGTTTGTTAACTAGTGTAAAATAATATACAACAACTTGTCAATTAAATATTGATTGACTGGAAAGAATGAGGTTAAAGGGAAAACCTAAGAAAATTAATTTACTAATGTCATGCAAAATCATTTTTACTTTTTATATATTATGTATTTTAATCCGGTATTAAATTCATACAACATATCACCTTTAACATGTTTATGTCTTACACACATACCAATACAACTAAACAATTGTATGACGTACAATGTATATAATAAAGTTAAAAGTCTCGCGTGCAATAATTTCTTACACGTTCACTCATTCTCTAACCATAACATATAATAAAAAAAATTATCAATCCGGTGAAGGTTTCATGTTTCATTTTTACTGCAATATATATTTTTATAATTCTTAAGGGTTTAAAAGAAAAGTATACAATTTTAATTGATTTCACCGTTAATTTTACCTGTTCTTTCGTTTTTTTACTTGTATACATGAGTAAATAGAACAAGATTTTAAATTCATGTTATACTATGTTTCATAATATATAAAAATACACACGTGATATTGTTATAGTTAGTATACAATCTACTTCAGTGGCGTATAAAAAGCTCTTTTGAAATTGAATCGGTAAGTCAAATAATATTTTTGCTTAAATTTCATTTTCTATAAATTCGAACAAAAAACCAAGATATTTGAAGCCAATTGAAAATGCAATTGCTACTAGTCATATGGTACCTTCAGTTTTTCAATATTAATTTCTGATTAAATATGTCATATAAAAAACTGGCCCCTGAACGTGAATCGTTTCTGTATATTATGCTATAAAATGCGACGCCTAAGTTTATTCTTTACTATAATAGCGAATATGGCCGAGAACAGGGCATTTATTTGCAAATAAACAGAATTTGTAATGTCAAAAATTGAAACTGGCGCCCGAACATGAACAATTTATGTCATAAAATGCGACATCCAAGTATATTCTTTACTTCAGCAGCGAATATGACCGAGAGCATTGGATCCACCAGCAAATTAACATAATTTGTTACGTCAAGAACTGAAACTGGCACCCGAGCGTGAATCGTTTGTGTAGACTGTGCTATATAAAATGTGGCGACTAAGTGTATTCCTTACTATAGCAACATTATTTCTTCATATGAAAAGGAATAAATAAATTTGCCTGCAAACCTCACAACCAATATCTTTTGTATACACACCATAATTTTGTCTATATATATCATATTTAATGTGATTAAGAAAACACTTTTTCATACATACATACAATTTGCAAATATATAAAAACCCTTTAAGAATATAATCCACCTGTCGGATGAAAATAAAAGGCAAGAAAAAACACGCAAGAAGGCAAAAAAAAGAAAGTAAAAAAAAAATTAAATGACGTAACCGTTATATTTAGCATATACACATATATATATTTATATACAAATATACAAATTTTACGTAAATGAATAAAAAAGAAAGATAGAAACAGAAAAATTTTTATAGTTATATCGCGATATACCTGCGTATAATGACTGAACAGTGATGTCAGATAAGGTAACAGAGAGTAATAAAAACTTGTTTTATTTATTGCACCTTATAAACATGCCCATACTTTCGTACTTATTTTTTTTTTTTTTGTGATTATATTCGCAAATTTTTACTTTTTCTTTCTTTTTTTTTTATGCTCCAATTTAAGACATTTTTCAACTTTCCAATTCCTTTTTTTTTTTGAGTGTCTCTGTATTTTTTTTTTTTTTGTTCTTTATTTTGAAAAAGAAAAAAAACCTACTAAAATAACGTTCCAAAAAAAAATAAAAATAAAATTTACGTGCAATTTACGTTCAAAACACTTTTAGACACGCACATTGTACTAAATATTTTTTTTTCATTTTTGTTTGTGTGTGAAATACAAGCAAAAATGGAAAAAACGCGCCAAAATAAATATTTTTCTGTTTTTTTCTTTTTTAATTATTTTCACAATAATATAATAACAATCAAATATATGTATATGTATGTATGTATAAGAAATATAAACATGAATTAGCAAATGGGTTTGACCCACTTTATATATACATACAAACAAAGAAAATGAAAAACAAAAGCCGAAATTAAAATTTGTTATACAATTTGATCTGAATTCACATTTGGTTTTGTTTTTCTTTTTTTTTTTATCAAAATGACATCTGTTGAATTACAATGGAATTATACGTACAGAAGTGACATGAATATTTAATGCAAATCAACAAAAAAATTAAAAACAAAAATATTTTGCTAAGAAATTTCGAGACTTTAAGGCTAATAACCAGAAATGACTCAAAATAACTTTGATTGAATAATGATTTGAAGTGATAAAAATTTTTAATTAAAATGTTTGTTATCACTGGAATCAATAGGGTATCTATTCAATTATTATTGTTAAAATTTTTCGAAATCATTTAAATATTTTAATTAAGCAATCGCTGTGGTTTATTATGAAATTTTTCATTCTAAACTGGAATTTCTTGTTAAAGGTAGAAAGGAGGGAGAGGGGGGGGGGCCGCGGGTGCTCTTGTTTAAGTCTTCTGAAGCCACTTTTTGTAAGTCACAAGAAACCCGTAATATTTCAATTGTTTTTAGACAGTCGTATTCTTCCATTGAGAAGCTTGTACTATTTTATGTCCTCAAACATTTTTTTTCTTAAGATATGGTTATCCCAATGTTACATATTGTGAAGCATATAATTTGAGGAGAAATTCTGTTGTAACTGTATCAAATTATACTATTAATGCCAGTTTAGCATTTAAGCTTTTCTCATTAAAATATTTTCATCCAATTCGAACCGAATATCTGCTTTAAATAATGAAATACAATATCCATTTTAAAGGTACAGCTTATAAAATAAAAAGTGTATAAAAAGTGTCTGAAGCTCTTCAATTTTATATGATAAATTTTAAATATCCAATTTCTTTTACTATAACAGCGGCTAACTAAAAGAAGCACGACATCATTACAATCAATGGCGATATTAGAATGCAATCAGAAATAAAATAATATTGTGAATACCAATGTCTTCACTGAATAATTTCAAACGTTATTCTTAAACCTAGACAACAGAAGAAAAATTACTATTCAAACTCATAGTCATAAATGACAAATACTGAAAATTAAAAATTTATTCAAAATACAAGCATTATCGCTTGATGCATATTTTTTTTTCAGTCAAACGCTTAATGTCCATACATTTACACATATCAAGTAGTAGCTAAGCTAGTTACATGTTTTTTTAAAGCATATATTTGCTCTATAAAAAAAAAAATTTAAAATATTCATAATAAATTTCGCGATTACTTGATAGGTAGTAACAATAATATAGATGATATAGTCAATAAAATGGGTTATTATCGCGGTATATATAGAAGAAAAATAATAAAAACAAAATAATAGTTAAAAATAACTAGGTAGGTAAATTTTAACAGAGATCTTGACCATGATGTTAAAATGGTGTTCACTAGATATACACCTTCAGGCAAAGTAAATAAATATAATTTTATTTTTCT